TAGGCACATCTAATTCACAAAACAGGGCAGGTAAGATTATTTTTTATATAATTATTTAGAAATTAATTAGAACGTTTAGAATTAATTGAACATTATTAATAGTCATTGAGGTGGGGGGGTGTGAGGGTCAGGCTTTTTGTTAATCCCCCCCCCCTCCCCTAAATCAGAAGGTTATCCAACGCGTGACCTGGCCACATAAAGTTGTACATGTGAAAAACATTTTTCTCTCTATTATTATTATGCATTACTGCATCATTCACCCAATCGCCATGAAAACTTGGGAAGCTGTTGAGTACAGCCCCGAAAGGTTTCTGTCATAGGCCTAACATTTGTACATATTCGAGTGGGGACTCCTAACGGAAATATGTGATTTAGCGCCCCGTGATCCTGCATAAGCGGATGAGGTTACTACTTGAATACAACTGGCGTCAGTGTCATCCTGAGCGCATCACCTATGAGCAAGTTGGCCCCCACAGACAGTAGTTTAAAAGTTCCCACAACACTAGGAATAAGTCTCGCTACTACACTCGATGACTAAATCTAATTAGGTGTCGCACCAATGTTTCTTCCAGGGTAGACTGTTTTCGGGGGAGGGGAGGGGGGGAGCTCTGCCGGAAGAAACAATGTGTCACACCCATCACCCGTGCAGTAATGTAACCGGTAGGTCCAAGAGCCCCGTGACTCCCCTGACACCTGGGCCGTCGCCGAGGGATTTACAGCATGCCTTGGCGTGTCTAGTTGTTAGTGTGGACAAACCCGCGCCCTAAGATCCAAGAAATGAACTGCCGACATTGTTAACATTTAATTCAACTTCTGGAAAACAGGACACACGGTTAGTAACGTTTTGATGAAAGCCTCAGTTTAGTGTGTTGGACTAGATTTAGAAAGGGGCCAGCTCGTGTGTTGGAAAACCTCTGATTTATTCGTGTACCAGATGGAATTTTTTTTTAAATTGAGAGCGAACCTTGTTATATATATATATATATATATATATATATATATATATATATATATATATATATATATATATATATATATATATATATATATATATATATATATATATATATATATAGGGCCCAAAAAAAATTCTTCGGGGGGGGGGGGGGGGGCTTTTTTTCTAGTTCCGCCACTGATACACATGACATGTTGTTGTGATTAGATTTAATTGAATTTTTTTTTTTCAAAACCGATCAGGCCAGATATGAGTATCCTATGTTCGTATTGCGTGTTTATATATATATATATATATATATATATATATATATATATATATATATATATATATATATATATATATATATATATATATATACATACATATATGGGGGGCCCAAAAAAATTTTTTGCGGGGTGGCCCATTTTTTCTAGTTCCGCCACTGATCTACTTGGTGTAAACCTATAGGCAAAAAATTTATATTTTCATACATACACTAACTATAAGAATTAAAACTAATAAACAGAAAATAAATCCACATGAAAAGGTAAAGATAATTGAATTTTTTATTCTCAAATTTTTTATTGACTAAATTAGTTGTTAAATTGTAAAGGCATTTCATTGTAGCTTGGGCCAGTAATTGTTTCTTTCTGGGAAGCATTATTCTTTTTAATTTTTTACTTGCATCTGATATTGTTATTCAGAATCAATCTCACAAAGTGCAGTCTTGAATATATTTACCAGTTACATAATGATAAAGTTATAGTACAACATAGAAAAAAATAGGACCTAGTATTATAAATTGTATGCTATGCCACATAGAAATTTATATATATATATATATATATATATATATATATATATATATATATATATATATATATATATATATATATATATATACACATACATACATACATACAAATGTCATGTACATTTGTAAGTATGCGTAGACGCATGTGTATATTTTAAAGTGTTTCTGAAGCTACGCATTTTTCGGCTGAACTTCCTCTTCATTTTTACTTTCTCGTATATACGGAGTATAGAGAAAGTCTTGTAATCGTGCAAAAAAAAAATCGAGATTTTTACAAATCTCGGCGTTTTACACCTCACTGATACGGAAAAACATAATTTTGCAATCTTGTCCGTATGTCTGTGTGTCTGTCTGTCCGTGTGTAAACACGATAACTTGAGTACCGTTACAGCTAGGTTGATGAAATTTCATATATAAGTATTTTATGAAAATCGTAGATCCGTATCAACTTTTGAGCGATTTCCGATAACCAGAAGTGGTACTTTTCCTACTTTGAATTTTTCAAAAGCCTATAACTTGAGTACTTTTTCAGATAGATAAATGAAATTTCACATGTAAGTAAAAGATCTAATTCTCTACCTTCTGTAAAATTTTGAGTAATTTCCGTTGACTGGAAGTAGTAATTTACGCTACTTCCGATTTCTCAAAAAACTAATGTAAATTTTAAAAGTACTAATAATATTGCGCACTATTATGCGCTTTTTTATTTGGCGTTCACTTGGTGTGCAATTAATTTGTCTACGAGATTTTATTCTATTTTTAAAACTTTAAGTATTTAAAATGGATTAAAAATCATGTCTATAGCCCGAGTTCCCATTCCCTGTTATTTTATATAAGAATATTCGATAAAGTTTAGGGGAGATCACTCCCGGTTTATTTATTTATAGGAAAATGAGTAATAGCTACCAAATACTTTTTTCCAACATTTGTATCTACTAGAAGCTCTTTGCTATTGATGGGTAAACTAAATTTGTAATTAAATTATTATAATTCTGCATATTCCATTGCATAATATACAAAATTTCACGATAAAATTGATTTAAGAAGTTTGCCAACTCTTCTCATAGCCTACGAAAAGCGTCAAAATGTGTCAATGTTGCAAGTCAACAAGTTCTATTTATCTGTTGCTAGCTTCTTTTTGCCTATTGTTTTATACATTTCCAGTGTGGTTTAAACCCAATCCACATCGGTGGACGGTGTATTTGGTGTCACCATTCCCTCTCTACCATTTTGTCAAGTGAAGTCAACTTATATTAATCCACCTAGAAAAAGCTTTGAGGGGCCTAATTCTAATATTTATTAATTTAAGAGGAGAAATCATTGTTTTTGTAGATACTTATTAAATATGGTGTCACCCCCAGTCGAGTGACATATCAGTTATTGCAATTCTCAACAAAACCTTTTTTCCTCAGGCAACGTTTAGTTGGAGTCACCCCCACCCCTCCCCACCGTGATAGCTTTGAACTGTGCACACATAATACCGGTGTTTTTAAGGCTTCTCCCCCCCCCCCTGAAGAGAGACTACCACAAGGGAACTTGACATTTTTAGACATTCATATGATACACATGTACTATAGAACGATGGTATAATTATTTGGAGTTTTGTGTAGGATTTACATGCGAATAGTCGTCTTTTATCATAAACAACGGATTTTTGTGAGTACTCTTATATAGATAAAAGTGACTGGCGCATTCTGTTTGTTTTAATACTGGTTTATTTTTAGATGCATAATGTCACATTCCGGTTAGATCATGCAAAAAAAGATGAAAATAATAAAACATAATTATCTTCATCTTTTTTTTTTTGGACGGAGAACGGTCCTGATTCAATTTAATGAAATACTATAATAGCTCATTGTATCAATAGTACATCACAATCTTTGAAACTAGCTTAGGCGTCATAGTGCTCATTGGCAGGGCCGGCGCTACCTATAAGGCGCTTTTAATAAGTTTTGCCTAGGGCGCTAAATAACTTGGCGCCGGCACTGCTCATTGGGGAGCCTAGGTGCAAAATCACCTTCTGTCGTGGAGCCGAGGACCTCGCGAGCCGCATTCGGCCCGCGGGCCGTTGTTTGGAGACCCCTGGTCTAGCTTATCAATAGAGTTTGATTTTGCATAGCAATTTTATAGGTTTACAAACCGACAACTTGTCAGATTAATGCCCCTGTATATAATATACCATGTTAGAGACTGTTCCAGAAATAAAACAAAAATAAAACAAACATAAAAACCTTTATTTTGATACGCTTTTGTCGCTAAAATATATAAAAGATCTCATAAGCGACCAAAGCTTTTATGAACGAAAGTAAATTAGTTTTATTTTCTTATTTTTAGTGCATTTAAAAAGTTTGTTGCTATAAAGGTTTTTATATTTGTCTTATTTTCTACTTTTAGTGATTCCTTATTTATTAAGTCGACACCACTAAAAAATATTTGCTTTAAAACACCATCAGTAACTTGCGATATCTAAAAGACAATTATCTGCCCAGTGAAAGCAGTCGTCCGTGACCATATTTTACAGACGACATCAAGTTCTTAATATTGTTACCACCCCTTAGTCTAAAAAAGTTAAAATACTTTATTATCAGTCCATAATGGTTTTCACTAGATCGACCGTCTTTACTATTGTAAACATTCTCGTGTACTACAGCTCACCAGAATGGTAGTGATTGCGTCTAGTTAACTCCCATTCAGTTATTTAATATAGTAATTTATTGAGTGATTTCATTGTGTTGCTTCCGGGAGCCGGACGTTTTCCCGAAAGACACTTGCCCGAAGGCCGTTTGCCCGAGGCCGATTTCCCGAATGGACCCTTGCCCGAATGCGACAAATGCCCGAAGGCAGTTTGCCACCAGCTACAAACTAAACTATAACCTTAGATCAGAAATATTTTTTATCTGACGCTATTAACCTTTTAAAAGGATTTATATATATATATATATATATATATATATATATATATATATATATATATATATATATATATATATATATATATATATATATATATATATATATATATGGAAAACCAATTTTAATGTTCTCCCCAGGTCGCTATGCCTCCGAACAGGTGACGTGATCACAAAGATTTATTTGTTTACCGAAGCTAGCAGCCTCAAATAAGGTTCCAATATACACCAATGTTCGTTAGTTTTAACGCAATGGTTCATTTCTTTTGTTTGTTTCTAAAGCATGAAAGACGTGAGAAAGATGAGGAGTTACTCAATGATAAAGTAAAACACGAAACCGTACAATTATAATCGTTTAATGGTAAATATTATGTCTAAGTGGCTCTATGTCGTCTTGTTGACGAGTGTGAGTAGTTGCACCATGTACCATTACATACATCACACCAACAATAATTCACTGGTTCAGGGTGGCAACTGAAAGGCAGAATCATTGATAAAAAGTATATTCTTCAGTATCAAAAGTATATCGTTCGTCTAACAGTCTAGTCTAGTCTAGTCTAGTCTAGTCTAGTCTAGTCTAGTCTAGTCTAGTCTAGTCTAGTCTAGTCTAGTCTAGTCTAGTCTAGTCTAGTCTAGTCTAGTCTAGTCTAGTCTAGTCTAGTCTAGTCTAGTCTAGTCTAGTCTAGTCTAGTCTAGTCTAGCCTAGTCTAATCTAGTCTAGTCTAGTCCAATCTAGTCTAGTCTAGTCTAGTCTAGTCCTAATCTGATCTGGCATAATCTACCAAAATCGATTTTGTTCAAGCCTGTGTCTTTTTGTCTAGACGATTCACAGAAAAAAAGAATGATTGGTTTTTAAATCTAAAATGAAAGGTTAAATTAAAAACATTATTTAATTTGGAATTTAAGAAAAAAAGTGAATATTTTTAATTACAAGCATATGTGACTTGAATCACAGCAAGGCGTCTCATCGCATATTTCATATTTTTCTGCACAACTATAAAGAAAAAAAATGCTTGTTTATAGCGATCATTATTGGTTAAACCAGGGGTCTCCAAACTTTTCAGTCCGAGGGCCGCATTAACTATCACATTTCAGTTCGGGTCCAGTTTCTTCCTGGCATGTCTTTGATTTTTCTGGGCAAAGTTGCTCAGCCATCACCAACAAACGATTTTTCGTTGGACAAAAAGATCTCCGCGGGCCGGATGAGAGGACTTCGCGGGCCGCATTCGGCCCGCGGGCCGTAGTTTGGAGACCCCTGGGTTAAACTTATTACATGATAATGAATTTAAAATAGAAAACGTACAAATGAATGACAGTGAAATGTTTATATATATATATATATATATATATATATATATATATATATATATATATATATATATATATATATATATATCAAAGTATGTCTGTGTGTGTCTTTTATGTATTACTACACCTTTTATCCGATCGCCATTAAACTTTGTAAAGTTGTTGAGAATACTCTGGGGGAGATTGATATATATATATATATATATATATATATATATATATATATATATATATATATATATATATATATATATATATATATATATATATCCTAATATATAAAAGCCCATGTGCGCACTTCTCTCTCCCTCTGTCCGTAAAATATTTTCGCTGGACATCACATCAAAATCTTCAGCGATATACGGAGACCTTGATGCAGACTTTTGTTGAAAATAATATGTTACATGTTTTAAATGTATAACCACAATTGTATTTAAAGAAGAAAAATAAAAAATAAAGGCGTATTCGAATTTAGAAAAACCGTTCTAATTATGCAAACGCAAAAGTGTTTATAGTTGGGACAAGAGCGCATTTAACAATGACGTCACTTAATGTTTTCACTAAAAAAGAGCACGAAACTAATGACGTCATCTTCCGAGTTTGGAATAAAATAAAGAAATGAACTATTTCATTCAAATATGATTTAGAGCTAGGTACGCTATGAAATGTATACAATACGATTTTCTCGGCCTAAACTTATAAAATTTACTTTATCTATTTGGATTCTATATATAGATCTAGATCTTGATCTTGATCAGCGAATGCATTTAATATGGTATGCTTACCGATGACGAAATGAACTATTTCATTTAAATCTATAGATCTATTCATAAAAAATCGAATAAAAATAAATCGCTTTAAAAACAAGAAGAATACCATGGAATAGCCGAGTTTTTAACGGAATCATTTAAGTCACTTAATCAGTGTGTGTCCGTGTTATGTTAAATGTGTCGGATTTGCGTTTTGACCAAAAACTATTTTATAAATTATTTTTCTCAAACAAGTTCAACATTTTAAAGTATATAGGCCTATAATTAACGTGACACGAGTACCGATGGCTAGTATATATATAAAAGTCGGATGCAGTTTAACACAGTGTGCCATCAAAGTATGGGGATTCGATGAGAATACTCCCGTGGTTGATACCTGATCCGTCTTAGAGGAAAAAGGCGGCTGGGCATTGGGTTGAAGTCATTGAAACAAGTGAACTCTACTTCAGTTGCTAACGTTGATAGTCAGCTACGAATGTACGCTTTGGGGTAAAGATAGACACACAAACACACACACATACACACACAGATATATATATATATATATATATATATATATATATATATATATATATATATATATATATATATATGTATATATATATAAACAGAGATACAGAGAGATATAGTTAGATACTAACTGACATACTGACCATGAGGTTGATAAAGTGAGGGAAATATAAGTTTTAAATTATTATTTTCAGACTTACTTTTTTTTTACAATTGAGATGTGCTTAGCGTAGATATTTGCAATGATCAACAAATTGATTATCAGCAAGAGTTTCATTTTCATACAAGTTTTCTTTAAATGTAAAAAAAAATAAAAAATAAAAATTAGTTACATGTATTCTATAATTTAATGTTACTTTAGGCGAAAAGAAAATAGCATAAAAACGTTTTAACAAGCTTTGGGCGAGTGGCTTTCGGGAAAACGGCCTTCGGGCAAACCGCATTCGGGCAAGTGTCTTTCAGAAAAACGTCCAGCTCCCAAATAGTAGCCCCCCCCCCCCACTTTATTAAACAATTTAGTCCTCGGGTCTTGACTAATGTGCCAAGATTGAAAAGATTTGATCTGTTAGAATTACTCGGTTTCCCTGTACATTTTCAATCCATGATGACTTACAAGCGAACAGACAGACAGACAGACAGACAGACAGACAGACAGACAGACCGACCGACCGACAGACAGGCAGGCAGGCAGGCAGGCAGGCAGACAGACAGACAGACAGACAGACAGACAGACAGACAGACAGACAGACAGACAGACAGACAGACAGACAGACAGACAGACAGACAGACAGACAGACAGACAGACAGACAGACAGACAGACAGACAGACAGACAGACAGACAGACAGACAGACAGACAGACAGACAGACAGACAGACAGACAGACAGACCAGACAGACAGACAGACAGACAGACAGACAGACAGACAGACAGACAGACAGACAGACATAGGAAGCAAGTTAAATACAAGCTTGTAAACACGCTCCATGGACTCCTGACACTCTTATCAGCGGTTCCCAATTCCTTCTTTTCTGCCTCATTCTGCTACATCGCCTTCCTGGGTCCAAACCTGTGTCGCTTGTCTCGGGGGTTCCACTCAAGGGATTGTCTGGCTCTACTGCCATCATTCTTGCTAAACATGTGTCCACTCCATCGCACTTTCCTTGATTTGTCTTTCTATTGTTTCCTGTCCGAACTCCCATACTTTTGTGTTTTCTACCTTGTTTTGCCATTTTATTTGTATATAATAAATAGCCAACTATCAATATAAGTCTGGGTTCTTTTTGTTGACTCTTTTGTTTTCCACCTCTCTGATCCGTAGAGAAGGTTTACTTTTAAGCGAAAAATTCGTATTAATAATTCATTTCGTCACTTAACTAGGTATTATATTTAAAAAAGAATAGATTAATAAATTTAAAAAGCTTTATTAATAGGCCTACATACAATTTTAAATAATAAATAGATGTGTGTGTTTCATTTAAAAACGTATTAATAACAAGCTTTTAATAATTATGGACTAAAAAGTAGCAAATATGTGTTTATCTTTAAATATATAATAACGAATCACTATATAAATAACTATACATATCTCAGAAACTAGGTTTATTTGAACTTGTTTTAAAAACTGGAAGCAGACATATTATACAAGTGGGCGGAGGATTGGGGGTTATAATGACAGATATGTCCTAGACAGATAACCCTTTAGATGTTCTATCAGTAGACTCACATACATTGTATGACACTTTAGATGTTATACCACTAGACTCACATACATTCTACCACTAGAATTACATAAATTGTATGACACTTTAGATGTTCTACCACTAGACTCACATACATTGTATGACACTTTAGATGTTCTACCACTAGACTCACATACATTGTATGACACTTTAGATGTTCTACCACTAGACTCACATAAATTGTATGACGCTTTAGATGTTCTACCATTAGACTGACATTAATTGTATGACACTTTAGATGTTCTACCACTAGACTGACATAAATTGGATGACACTTTAGATGTTCTACCATTAGACTCACATAAATTGTATGACACTTTAGATGTTCTACCATTAGACTCACATACATTGTATGACACTTTAGATGTTCTACCACTAGACTCACATACATTGTATGACACTTTAGATGTTCTACCACTAGAATGACATAAATTGTATGACACTTTAGATGTTCTACCACTAGACTGACATAAATTGTATGACACTTTAGATGTTCTACCACTAGACTGACATAAATTGTATGACACTTTAGATGTTCTACCACTAGACTCACATAAATTGTATGACACTTTAGATGTTCTACCAATAGACTCACATACATTGTATGACACTTTAGATGTTCTACCACTAGACTCACATAAATTGTATGACACTTTAGATGTTTTACCCTTACTCACATAAATTGTACGACACTTTAGATGTTCTACCACTAGACTGACATAAATTGTATGACACTTTAGATGTTCTACCACTAGACTCACATAAATTGTATGACACTTTAGATGTTCTACCACTAGACTGACATAAATTGTATGACACTTTCGATGTTCTACCACTAGACTGACATAAATTGTATGACACTTTAGATGTTCTACCACTAGACTGACATAAATTGTATGACACTTTAGATGTTCTACCACTAGACTCACATAATTTACAACGGATATTGAATATCCATATACAGATAAGGAATTTGCATCATACGACAATCACAATTAGAACAGTACTTGTGAAAAAACACACTAACAATTAGGACATTATGACTGTAAAGAAAATAAAACAGGCAGTACTCACTCAGGACACAGCGTGTTGCAGATTTCTGGTAGCGATTGCGACTGTTGGTCTGTTTCAGAGCTGTTTTCTACAAACCTCCACGTATTAACGTTTGTTATATAGTCATAGCTCTTATAATGTTCTGATTCGAGTCGTTTACATTTCAACCAAACTCATGGGCGTGTCATTTTTGTGCAAACATTTGCTGGGCACTGGGCGCCACATTGGTGTTCCAATGTGTAGTTTAATGACGGTTATTTGCTAAGCCACCCACCCATGCATCATTAGGATTCTCCTATGATTTTCAACCGCCCATTGGCAACAAAGACCGGCCTCAGTTTGGTAACAGGTGCTCAATAGGGCTGGTAAGTAGGTCACCAACCAGTTCTATAGCTCATGCAGATTTTATTGAGCCGTAGAACTGGTTGGTGACCTACTTACCAGCCCTATTCTATGCTGGTTGGTGACCTACTTACCAGCCCTATTCTATGCTGGTTGGTGACCTACTTACCAGCCCTATTCTATGCTGGTTGGTGACCTACTTACCAGCCCTATTCTATGCTGGTTGGTGACCTACTTACCAGCCCTATTCTATGTTCACTACTGACGTACTAGACGGCCGTTATGGCTAGGTTGACTAGTGACGTACTAGACGGCCGTTATGGCCAGGTTGACTAGTGACGTACTAGACGGCCGTTATGGTCAGGTTGACTAGTGACGTACTAGACGGCCGTTATGGTCAGGTTGACTAGTGACGTACTAGACGGCCGTTATGGCCAGGTTGACTAGTGACGTACTAGACGGCCGTTATGGCCAGGTTGACTAGTGACGTACTAGACGGCCGTTATGGCTAGGTTGACTAGTGACGTACTAGACGGCCGTTATGGCCAGGTTGACTAGTGACGTACTAGACGGCCGTTATGGCCAGGTTGACTAGTGACGTACTAGACGGCCGTATGGCCAGGTTGACTAGTGACGTACTAGACGGCCGTTATGGCCAGGTTGACTAGTACCTTAGAATACAACCTTTAAGACTAGATTGAAAATTGACGCACTGGACGGAAGTAGATGGGGGAGTGGGGAGTAGATGGTGGAGTAGAGAGATGGGAGAAAAAAGATAGGGGGAAAAATGGGGAAGTGGAGGGTTGGGAGTAGAGAGTGGATGCGAGAGTACATAGTAGGGATTAGAAAGCAGAGATAAGGAAATAGAGAGTAGATGGAATAGAGAGTTGGGATTTTTAGAGCTGATTGGGAATAGAAAAAGGAGTAGAGAGTAGATTACGGAATAGAGAAAAGGGATTAGAGAGCAGAGATGGGGGAGTAGAGTGTTGGCAGAAGAGGTAGATCTATTGTTTCTGAACTCCACAATCTTTGTACACATCCGTGTTTGTAATAAAGTCATCTGATAAGGGCTAGTGGATTAGTAATATTTACAGCTAATTGCATTCTGTTCTATAAATAACACTTCAACAATAAGACTTGATTAGGTTGGTCTGGTAACAGCAGTTTTTTATTATTCTAGCCCACGTTTATACAGACTTGTATTAATTCTCTTTTAATGTGTTATTTGAAATTAAAATACGAAAGTAGAGAATATATTAGGGAATAGGGAGTTGGGATTTAAAAGTTAGAATTGGGGAGTAGAGAGTAGATGTGGAACGGGAATACACTGGATAGAGAATTAGTAGTAGAGAGTAGTTTGGGGAGTAGAGAGTTGGGATTAGAGAGTAGAGATAGGAGAGTAGAGAGTAGATGATTAATAGAGAGTCGGAAGTAGAAAGTAAAGGTGTAGGAGTATAGAGTTGGGATAAGAGAGTAAGAATGTAGAGATAGGGAAGTAGAGAGTAGATGGGGAAGTGGGGAGTAGATGGGGAGTGGGGAGTAGATGGGGGCGTGGGGAGTAGATGGGAGCGTGGGGAGTAGATGGAGGCGTGGGGAGTAGATGGGGGACTGAAGAGTAGATGGGGGAGTGGGGAGTAGATGGGGGAGTAACGAGTAGATGGGGAAGTGGGGAGTAGATGTGGGAGTGGGGAGTAGATGGGGGCGTGGGGAGTAGATGGGGGCGTGGGGAGTAGATGGGTGAGTGGAGAGTAGATGAGGGACTGAAGAGTAGATGGGGGAGGGGGAGTAGATGAGGGAGTGGGGAGTAGATGGGGGCGTGGGAAGTAGATGGGGGCGTGGGGAGTAGATGCGTGAGTGGATAGTAGATGGGGGAGTGGGGAGTAGATGGGGGAGTAAGGAGTAGATGGGGAAGTGGGGAGTAGATGGGGGACTGAAGAGTAGATGGGGGAGGGGGGAGTAGATGGGGGCGTGGGGAGTAGATGGGGGAGTGGGGAGTAGATGGGGGAGTAACGAGTAGATGGGGGACTGAAGAGTAGATGGGGGAGTGGGGAGTAGATGGGGGAGTAACGAGTAGATGGGGAAGTGGGGAGTAGATGTGGGAGTGGGGAGTAGAAGGGGGAGTGGGGAGTAGATGGGGGAGTGGGGAGTGTATTGAGGAGTGGGGAATATATGGGGGAGTGGGCAGTTGGGATAAGAAAGTAAGAATGTGGGAGTAGATAGTAGAGATAGGGAAGTAGAGAGAAGATGGGGGAGTGGGGAGTAGATGGTGGAGTAGAGAGATGGGAGAAAAAAGATAGGAGTGTAGAGAGTAAATGGGGGAGTAGAAAGTAGATGCGAGAGTAGAGAGTAGGAATTGGAGAGAAGAGATAAGGAATTTGAGAGTAGATGATGCAATAGAGAGTTGTTTTTTTAGAGCAGATTGGGAATACAGATTGTAGTAGAGAGTAGATTAGGGAATAGAGAAACGGGAATAGAGAGCAGAGATGGGGCAGTGGAGAGTTGGCAGAAGAGGTTGGTCCATTGTTTCTGAACTCCACATCCGTACACATCCGTGTTTTTAATAAAATGATCTTATAAGGATTAGTAATATTTACAGCTAATTGCATTCTGTTCTATAAATAACACTTGAACAAAAAGACTTGATTAGTTTGAAATGGTAACAGCAGTTTTATATTATTCTAGCCCACGTTTATACAGACCAATATTAATGTGTTTTTTTTAAATGTGATATTTCTAAATAAAAATAGTAAATTGGAGAGTCGGCAATGGAGTAGAGATGGGGGTAGAGAGCAGTGGCGTAGCGAGGTCGGGTGTCACCCGGTGCGGCACTTAATGGTGTCACCCCCCCCCCCAGAGGCATAGAGACTCTTCCCAGGGACAAACTTTTAAATTTTCGATTTGCACCCCCCCCCCCCTCAAACTTTCGATTTGCACCCCCCCTCAAGTTTTCGATTTGCACCCCCCTTCAAACTTTCGATTTGCCCCCCCCCCCCTCGAGTTTTTTTCTATATATTTTGCTATTTTTTGCCTTGGTGTCACCCCCCTAAATGGTGTCACCCGGTGCTGTCCGCACCCCCCGCCCCCCCCCCCCCCTCGCTACGCCCCTGGTAGAGAGAAATGAGTAAAGATGGAGGAGTATAGACTAGATAGTAGATGATTTGAGAGTAGGGAGTATAGATGAGCGAGTTTTGATGGCATAGATAATAGAATGGGTGGTAGTTTTGGGGAGTAGCTCTTTAAGCCCGTAATTATTTTCACGTTTTACCGGAATTATTATTTTTTCACTCTTTTTTTTCAGTACCCCTACGGCTAAATGACCCATATCTTTTTACCCCTTAATTTTAACCCTACACATTTTGTTAAAAATTTACCGTAATTGAATGCCATACATACTGATATAAAATTTAAGTAATTATTTATTTATTGAAGAAAGATCAGAGTCGGCGTTAGGGGGTGGCGAACGGGGCGGTCGCCATAGGCCCCGCGCTTGAAGGGGCCCCGCGCTTCAGCAATGTCATTGTTATCTGAATTAGTTCGTAAACTTAAAAAAAATTGTTGCTGAATTCAATTGGGAAAAACTAAATGGTCGAATGCCGACGTTGTTGATTGTTATAACTGAGGCCACGGTTGATGTTGGTGAGTCCCACCTCAACTGGGACAGGCCGTAATTCGATACAAAAATAGTGTCACACCTCCCCTTTGTGTAGGGTACGGTCGCCTGGCATTTGACCTGAGCTGACTGGAGATGGCGGTCGAGAATTAGCCCACGACGTAAAGAGATACCCTATTGTATGCAGACCCATGAAGACGTCCTTTTAGTGAGCAGACGGGATGTCTGTAGTAGACAGTTAGTGACCTGATGAACTCTAGTCCTGACTTTCTTGTTGTAGATGTCGTATAATGTCGTATATGTACAGTGTTTCTTCCAGACTTTTTTCTCCGGGGGGAGGGGCACTTGAAATTTTCGGGGGGGGGGGGCGGTAGATTTTCTTCGAGGGGGGGGGGGGGGCGGACACTGTTAAAAGTATATATTTTCTATATAAATTATATAAATTTCATTTCGTTCCCCCCCCCCCCCCCCCGGAGAGATGCCTGGAAGAAACTCTATATGTAGGCCTACTTGTCTTGGTATAACAAAATTAACATTCAGTTGCGTGCAGGGGGGTGGGAGGAGGGCGACGAGGGGGGGGGGGGGGAGAGGCCCTTAGGATCTATATCAGGCGGCATTAAACAGAGTGATTTATTATTATTTTTTGGAAGAAAGTTAAAACTGTTGTTATGTTGTGTCACCTTAAGGATTCATCCGTTCAATAATTAAGACAATAATGTTTTTGGTTTTAAATACTGTAAGAATTCTAAACAAATTTTGAAGTCTATACTGTTTTATACATCAGGCCGAATTCGCTGTATTGTAAACTTTATTTTCCTAATTATTCGGCACGTGATTAAATTTTCTTAAGTGATTTGGTATGAATTACATAATTGTCAAAAGTGATTTAATATCTTAGCAAAGGAAAAAAAAACTACGAACATTGGGTTAATACATGGGAGAGATAAAAATATGTTATTATAGTGGAAAGTTTGACATTAGCTTATGAACTCCAAAACATTTGTGTTATTATGTGTACATCACATTATATATATATATATATATATATATATATATATATATATATATATATATATATATATATATAAATGGAAAGGCCCCGCGCGGATGGTTGGCCCTAGGCCCCGCGTATTCCTAACGCCGGCTCTGAGAAAGATAATTACTTAGTTTTAAAGAAGAAAAAAATAAAGAGTTGATTTTTTTTCGGG